TTCATGTGACTATAAGTTAATGATTCTTGTGGAGGTCAACAAAAACCTTAATGATGAATCTACCTGCTTTTGCCTTAGCCATAGCAAAAAAAATAGCATTCATCATTTCTTCGGTGTTATATCTTCTTAACTTACCTTTGATTCTCGTCCCTTGCCATCTATGTTTCATGTGTTCTAGCAGTTTGGATTCTAAGATCCTGATTTCTTCATGTATCTCAACTATTTATCGATCGCTTTGATTCTTCTATAAAGGTTGTTGTAGTTATTTGAGTTGTTTTTGTAGGTTGATTTTCTTAAGATAACGTTGCTTAACTAACAATTTATAATATTCATTGCATTTATAAATCATGAACAACAGACCGTTATTAAACCATCATATGTAATCCTTAATATGGTATTTTTCTTCTCTCCAGAAAGACCAAACATCTTGTAGATATTCTTTAAAACGTTCCATATTTGGGAGGGAGGTATTTAATTTACAGAATCATCGATCTTGTTTTTTTTTTTCCCTAAAAGAAAATACTACCACTGTGAAATTCATTGCGTGATCAAGGTTTGAAAATCACTACATTGAGAGACTTCATCTCTAGAACTTGCAGCGCTCCTTCAAGTCTGTATGGGATCTATGCGTGACTTTGAGACTTTCATTGTTTGTTTTTCCCTTAAGCACGTATAGGTACGTAGTTGTGCGCATTGGTCCCGCAGTGGGACCCTCCCCACCACGTCACACAAAAGTTTGTAGGACTTTTTCGCAAGGGAGCTTTTGCCGCTCCCGTGTCACTTGGTCTCGAATCTCTCTCGATCCCCAGATTTGCTGGGTGGAAGTCTGATACCATAACCAATAGTGTTAGTTCCAGGACTGAGATTAACAACCACTCAAATCTACATGAATGGGTGTCGTGCTATGAGTGAGCCTATGAAAGCATCACAAAGCCACATCTTGAACTTGGCCTACCGACCAAATCCACGACCGCCAAACCCTGACATTTGCCGCACGGGGGCCTGGTTCGGCTCACGACCGCCGTTCATACCACCCGTTATACCCAATTGCGGAAGCTCAAACTTTGTCTACGCTAAGCTCTGCTCATGCATAACATCGTCAGGGCTGTGGAAAAATTCCTTTTGTCGGGAACACACTATAAAACGCCTTATTGCGTCACGCGCCTCGCAGTCAAGCGTACCGACCAACGAAAATGGCCATGTGCCGGCTTTATAATCATGAACAAGAAAAAGAGATCATATGCGACTTCAAAGTTGCACGCGCACACACTTTCTATTCTTCCTCTGAACACATAGCTGGTCACAAAGGGAAAAACTGATTGTGCCGCGTGCGACACACCCAACTTTCGAATCAACCCATTTTCTATCATTTGCAAAAACCAGGGCGGATACCCTTGTAAAGGTATTCGCACCGAGAATGTTTTGCAGGGTGAACGCGTCTGTATGCATCAAACAAGTTGAGTGATTGACACAAACCATCTATTGTTTGCTTGTTCATCTCTATGTATGGTGGACAGGGAAAGGTGATTTTCCATCTATCACGTTCAACTTGTCTGTTTCGGGCTGCATTAAAATCCCTTGTTGTGACGCCCAACCTCATGCCCAGCGCGACTTCCTGATCGGAGTGGGATGGGGGTCCGGAAGTGCGAAAGAGGGGTGTGCCAAGGATTTTAGGAAATTCTAGTGGAGTCCCAGATCGGAACTGGGATCTCCTTGTGACAAGTTCAAGGGTAATTATGCAAGATGGTAATCCCGAGTTACATCGGTAGCTTGGGCTTCGGGACACAAGGCCACCGTTGGTGTGAGTATCAGCGTCGTGGTCGGTCTCGGATCTGATGGACCTTCGGACGCTATGAGTGTCGCACTGGTTGGTTAGCCATCGACATCGCTCATTGCAGACTTTAGAGTCTGACGAGGCTGGTCTCATTCGAAGACTGCTTGATCGCTGGTCCACCTCAGTTCGGGTCCGGCGGACAAATCCCGCCACGCGGTAAATACGGTCTTGCTGATACTAAGAGCACGGGGTCCGTGGCCAGTAAAGGACGATCGCGCACCAAGGGACCGCTGTTAGACAATGAAAGGGGATTACGAGGCGGTGGGGAGGATGATTGGTCTCGATGATGGCGATTCCTGGTTCGACGATGACGTGTCGTGCATGCGAATGGGGAAATCGGGGTGGGAAGGAAATCGCGTTTAAGGCCCATTCAATATCTCATTCACATACTCGCTCCGTTCCCACGTAGAAAGCGAACTCGGGGAGGTGGGACCGGGGTCGCGCGGCTTGATAGGCACATTCCCGTTCCCAATATTCCCGGAACCGTTGATGCCTCTGACTCTCACGATCTGTGACGTAGAAGAGAATCTCAACATCCATATCGATAAAAGGGATTGAGTTCATCACAGGCCCTCGGGGGCCAGTCCTGTGGACGAGCGTCGAAGACACGCATTTGCGATCGTACTTACACGCGCGTGTGCGAGACTCGCTTCCCGTTGGTGGGTCGTTTCAGGTACCCCCGTGGTTCCCGAAGGATTCATCATGCAATTATCAGATAAAAAAAAAAAACAACTTTCGGGCATAACATATGGCAATCTTGTGACAAGCCAGCCATTCATGCATCGATAGGGCTGCGAAGGGTTAATCATCCAACCAATACACTCAAAGCAATCAAAATGACTGATTAGTTCCCCAACCTCCCAAATTCCTTTCGAAGTACGGCGCAACTCTTCAATGATCAGGTTTCTTGTGAGATCGTGGAACATTCATTCATCGGATCCTCACTCGTTCATGCAAAGATGACACGCATCCTCATTGGTCAGACACACTCTTCAAGATTGACACTCGCATCCATCAAAATTGAGGCATCCTCCCCACACCCGTCAACAAGGAAAGAGAAGGGAGAATAGAGTTGCACACGAGGCGACACCATCGCATAAAATCGGAGACAAGAAAGATGGCTTTCGCCCGAGACCAAAATTTAATACAAGGAAAAGAAAGAAATGGTCACGATCCCACACTCGTCTGTTCCTAACTCTCTCTCTCTCTCTCCCTCTCTCTCTCTCTCTCTCTCTCTCTCTCTCTCTCTCTCTCTCTCTCTCTCTCTCTCTCTNTCTCTCTCTCTCTCTCTCTCTCTCTCTCTACACCACGTTACCTTCGATGCGGACAGTCCGCCGTCTCGCACCAACACCGAGTCGTCATCCCGCTTAGGCCAAGCACCCACACCAGGTTCGCCCGTGCACCACAGTCCGTCATGGCCCGCACGTCAACCCCACTTGCTTGGCACCAGCCCGTCGGATCGCCCGACTCACTTCTACTCACCTTCCAACGTGCTCGTTAGCCGATCCTCAATGACCGCGCTAACCTTCCAAATCTAGAGAGAGTGAATCGGTCGTGCTTGCGAAATTTATTGCATGCGTCCTCGCACGAGAAACCCGGGATCATACCCAAGACAGAAGGAAGGAGGAGAGATGGGAAGTGCCTACATTCTGCATGGTCAGGCTGCGATGTGGGGGTCGTAGCCACTCTCCACTCATCGATCTGGGCATGTAGCGCTTCAACCTATCAAACGAGGGAAGATGCATGCACAGCAGGAAGGAAACATGCGGGAAGAAAGGCGAGAGAATCAAGAAGAGAGAACTACAGTTACAACTGCACCACCAAAAGATACAGTTACATGCAAGATTAAGGGCGCAACTTAGTCAGAGCTCTGCTCCCGCCGCACACAGGCGCGCGCAAGCAAGACGCATAGCGCAGCAAAAATTTCAAGGTTCCTATATTCCTATCTAAATCCGAATTGCAGAAAAATAAAATTCCGAAGAACGAAAAAACTCGAAAAACAAGTCCGAGGAGCCCACGGGGGCTCGACATCAGTTGAAAGAAAATTTTGAAAAAGAAAAACGTTGTTCCCGCGAGGTCATCTCGCCAAAATTCTCGTTCCCCTTCGCCCCAGCAGAAAAAGAAAGAAGTAATGGCAACAGTTATTTCCCGCGCTCGCTAAGGCGCGGTCTTCTACTGCCTAAGCGGGACCTTTCTCGATAGTGGCCCAACAAAATCGAAAAAGAAACGAGGACATCCATGCAACTTGCCCAGCCGACTCATCCCCACGTACTTCGCCCTACTAGCTCGTCCTGTTGCCCCAAAGCAGCTTCTCGTCGAAAGTCGTATCATTACAGAAAGTGGTTCGTCTTATATGTGACGCCTAGGGGGTTCCAATCTTGAGCAAGCTCCCGCTTGCTCACTCATCATGTGTCGATCTATAACCTGAGGATCTACGTGGAACTCACACTTGCCACTGACCGTGAGATAAGAGTGTGAAAGTCATTGAACGTGGCCTTTACGGGCTCTATCCTAAATGTTTCCGGGGAAGGGCAATCTCATAACGGGCGGAGGAGGTGGTGGATGGACTTGGGGGAGGGGAGGTATGAAGCGGCGGATTTCTCTATCACTGGTGGGGATCCGGTTGTAGTGGATGGTGGGGTGGATGCGAGGGAATCGGGGGTGCTCCCGTTGATGTGGGAGAGACGTAAGATAGTCGAGGTAGAGGGTGGAAAGGGTGTGAGGGATGGCAACGAGGAAACTCTTGTAATTCTGGCAGGCGGGGATTGTGCCCGAAACGATGCAGTAGACTTCTATATTATTAAATTCCCGCCAGTTTGCGCTGAAAAGAAGGACATGGAGAGGGAAGGAGGTGGAAGGAGTGGGTGGTAGCATGCGAGATGACGGTGATAAGAAGGCGGGTGGCGTATAATTGGTGGAAAAGAGAGGGCGGGAAAGCTCAACATCCATCAAGGAATGGGGGTTGACCCTGGAGTTGGTGAGAGGTGAGGAAGTCAAGGGGACGATGGGATAACAACCGGGGATAAAGCCCGATCGCCCGCATCTCGACGAAGGCGAAGAGTGGCTCGTGATGGCGGAGAGGACGGAGCCGGTGATTCGTTCCTTCGGCGGCGTCGACTTCCTGATCCCTCTGCCCCGGCTCCATTTCCTTCGGACTCTTCGTGCGGCGGCTCCGGATTTAGCGATGGATCGCCTAGCAGCAGCTGTGGTGGAGGCCTTCCGAGTTCTCCGACTGGCCGCTTGCCCTCTGCTTTCTCCCTCATTTACTGAGCTTCGGCCTCTTCCTCCTCTTCGCTTTGCCTAGGACGACCACTCGACTCTCCCGATCCACTTTCCTCTCCCGTCACATCTTCTTCTTCCCCTGACCCGATGTAATCAGGGTCGTCCTGATCAGTGTCCGATTCTTCTTCCTCTGCCTCCTCCTCTTCTTCTTCCTCCTCGTCACTGGCTCCAAGTGCGTTTCCTCGCCGGACAAAAGGGTCCCACAGTGTGAGATCGGTAACGCCGATTTCGAGATAGAGGCTCAGGGACGTGTAAAGGCAGTTATCCCCGTCCAACTCAGTACACGTGGACCACAGCAGATGCGGCGCATGCGTGCGAGTGAGCACGTTTGGCCCCGGCTTCTCGTCACACCTCGACGGGATCTCGAGGGGTAAATCGTCCACCAATTGCGCTAAAAACACCAGCAACTCGTTCGTGATTGCGCCGAGGTGGCCTTTTTCCACCTTGCCGAATAATATCCCCAACAATTCCCCCTCCGTATCCGTCCGCCAAGCCTGCACGATCAACAGTTCTACCTCGTCGTCTTGGACCTCACCCCCTTTAGCTTCTGGGGCTGGCTCCGCCCAGTGAAACACCACGTCCTCTAAATAGAAGCCGAGTTCTACGTAAGTGTCCCACCACTCGTTCCACTTGTCTTCGTCCAAGATCGACACACTGAGTTTTTGGATCCAGAAAGAGAGGGCTGGATGATAGCAGATTGCCAGGAGGAGGGGAGATCGGATGGAAGGTTGAAGAGGGAGAGACGATGACGGTTCATTGGGGCTGCTCAAAGGGAAGGAGCTTCAGGAGAAGGATCTCCGGCGTGCTCCTGGAGGTGCGGAGTCGGACATCTGTGTCGTTCGAGGTCACGATCCTTTCCCCCGACCGAGCCAGTAACTCGACCCACATGGTCGTGATCTCCACAGCCCAACCCCGCAACTGTCGATAGATGTCCGTATGAATCGCCGATTGTGCCGTCGCGATATCACCCGTGAAGGTGACGATGATGGATAGGTGGCTAATACCAGGCGAGGACAGGCGCTGGAAAGCCGAAATCTCGGCCAGTACACACGTCACCCCTGCGTGAACGAAGCGGAACTCTGCTCCTGCGTGGATGGTTGTTGTGTTGAAGAAGGCCGCGAATCGAAGAAGATCGGGACTCAACCGAGGTCGCTGCACCTGCCGGATTGTTGCTATACGTCTCCTCGGGGTCATCAGACCCTCGTTGATCACCTGCTCCGTCGAAAAACTCATGGCGATGGAGGCGGAGTTGAAGACGATACTTGAGAAGGAAAGGAGGATTCAAGATCGTCGTCGTCTTCCTCTTGACCGAGGGACGATGTGGATGATGGGGGAGAAGGGGAAGAGGGGAGAGAACGAAGGTAGGACACGTGTCGAATGATCGGATGAGCCGATCGACTTCCCGACACCTCCAATGCAAGTCGCACCGTGTTCACCCCGTGTGGACCGAGCTTGACCACGCGAAATCGCCCGAAGAATCGTGACGCTAGCTTGCCCAGGCGAGCACATTTCCTCACCTGCACGATGTCCCCTAATTTATATTGGGGCCGAGACCCAGCATTCCCATTCCGGGCCTCGTAGCTCCTGACCTGTCTTCCATGGGCCATTTCCGTCATTCGCTGTTTTTTTCGGGCGAATCGGGGGAGGACCTTTTCCATCAGTTCTAGGTGGCATTGGGTCTTATCCTTAGTTGTCGCCCTAGTGGTCCGTTGCGGAAGGGTCATTTCATCATTTAGGCTTGGTGGAGCTACATAGGGTAGGTTATTGGTCCGTAATTGAAAAGGGGTCAGGCCCGCCGCCCGTGGATTCGTGGGGTGTCCCGCGGTGGATAGCCAGGATATGGTCCACGATGTCGGGCAAAGGCCTCGTGTCGTTCACCGCGATATTTCATCGGAAAACGGTTTTAATCACTCGATTGGGGTTTTCCACCAGTCCGTTAGATTGCGACATATGGGGAGCAGTATTCCGCATAGAGACACCGTGTAAGACTAGATTCCTTAAGACTTCCCCTCTAAATTCTGCCCCATTGTCCGTTAGAATCTCCTCTGTGTCTTGGTGCATCCCGAGAAAACGGTTGAGGTATCGTGCAATTTCGGTGACCTGTCGCGTCTTGCACGGATACGCCTCGATCCATTTCGAGAAGTGATCCACGAATACCAATAGAATTGAATATTCACAGCTATTCGGTCCAGGGGGTACGGCAATATCGGTGGCATCCATTCTAACCCCCTCGAATGGTCGTTCGACTATGGTAGGCACTATGGACCTAGGCGGATGAATTGGCGCCTTGTCAGCGGCTCGGACCTGACAATTTCGGACGATGAACTTAACATCGTCATGAATGTTGGACCAATACCACTCATTTTTATCAATCACCGCCTCTGTGATCCGGACGGAAAAATGGGCCGCAGTTTCCTCGTGAGCCGACTTAACCCAATCATAGCTCATGAACGGGTGCGGTACGAACATCCAGATCCCACTACCGTCTGTTTTCCGTTTCTCCAATCGCTCCACGTTCCATCGATAATCCCATGCCCTCTCATTAACCCTCCTTCGATCCTCCTTGATGAAATCTCGGAGGGAGTTCCCTACCACTGTGGCTATCAAAACGACATCGATCCATACTTCGGCCCTTCTAATCCTACGGTTTTTTTCCAATCCTTCTGGCGTGGCTTCGAGGAAACGAGCTTCGGTTGGAATTTCATCCATTCGATACAGACGACATAACCAGGCCTTGTCGGCATTCCTAAATTGAATGCAGGAGTCATGGGCTCTGAAGACGCACTGTTGGCAATCTACCCACTCGACATATCCTTCCCCGCTAAGACGGATAGGGACCGAGTAGACACGCGAGATCGCTTCGCAAAAATAACAAAAAATTTATCAGGTAGAGAGAAAAAGGACGAAGACGAGAGGGGAGAGAGATATCCTTCAGAATTACCTCCGTGCCCCATTGCCATTGTGCCTGTCGATCACTTCGTGGAAGTTCGAGGGAGGATGGCCACCTGTCCGTACAAGGGTTCGCTTGTTGGTTCCGACTCCTTCCACGGTGTAATCTCTTCACCCTTGGCAACCTTGTTCGGCCGGTGCAGACGCGTCAATCCGTCGGCGTTACCGTGCTTCTCGGTCTTCTTGTGGACGATGTCGAAATCATACTCTTGCGATCGCACAGCCCATCGTCCGATCATACCCGTGTAGTTAGTAAGTCCCTTGAGGGCCAGCGGGGGATTATGGTCCATGACAAGGAGGAACTTATGTCCATACAGATACGGATGGAAGTGTTGAATCCCCCAAACAACTGCATAGCACTCTCTCTAAGGCGCCGAATCGTTCCTTCTCTCGTCTGGTACCGTTCGCGAAGCGTACTCAATGAAGTGTTTGCGACTGTCGTTCCCCTTCAAGGCCAAAATAGTGGAGACTGCTTCAGGTTGTCAATCAGTAATGAGTATGAACTGTTTCTCCAGGTTAGGGCGGATCAAAAAAGGCGCCATGGCCAAAGCCTCCTTTAGAGTGACAAAGGCCCGTTGGCACTTCGTGTCCCAATTTTATGGTTGGTCCTTTCGTAGAAGATTCGTTAGGGGTCGTGCGATGGCCGCAAATCCTTTGATAAATCGACGATAGTACGAGGCCAGTCTCAAAAAGGTCCGGACTTGTGTTAGCGTTGTTGGTGTTGGGGCCTCTCGAACGGCCGCGACCTTTCTCGAATCAGGTTTCAACCCACCCCGGGTCACCACGTACCCTAGGAACGAAATCTCCGAAAGAAAAAACTCACTCTTCTCCAGCGCGATCTTGAAGCCAGCATCCTGCAGCGCCCCGAGCGTCCACTCGATATGTTGTGCATGCCCGTGGAATGATTCCGAATAGACCAAGATGTCATCCATGTACACGATGACGCAAAAGTTGATTATACCTTGAGTCAGCTTGGTCTTCTTGACGAAATTATGAAACGTGACGTTCATCGCTCTCTGGAAAGTGGCAGGTGCATTACAAATTCCCATTGGACAACGGACCCACTGCCAGGCGCCTTCGAATAGCACAAAGGCCGTCTTCGGCCGATCCTCTTCCTTGACCAGAATGTGGTGAAATCCGTAATGGATATCAAACTTGCTGAAATAATTCGCACACCCAATTGGATCCAATAGATCATCAATCGGGGGAAGGGGGTACACAATCGTGATCTCATTCAATTTCCTGTAATCAAGAGGAGGTCCGCTTGAGCCATGGGGAGATCATCGTTGCGTCAACGGCTTGTGACACGCCGTCGGCCATGGAGAGGTGACAGGCCGGACTAGACGGGGTTAGAGGAGGTCCGCGTGAGCGGAGGGCGTAGGGGGGGGTCTGCGGTAGAAAGCGACAGGCGGCGCTAGCGACTCTAACGCGGGCGCCGTCAAAGGGGAAGGGGTCGTTCGGGTCCAGGGTGCCCGAATGGGAAGGGGAAGTAGGGAGAAGGGGTGATGGGAGAGGGAAAAGATAAAAGGGCTAGGGGATTTGGAAAACTTGAGCAGCACTTCGCCTCCATCGAGGAGCAGAAATGTGCCGCAGAAAAATAAGAACCAAATAAGAACCAGGAAGACTAAGTAAAACAGTGAAAAACATCTACCGACGGATCAAAAATTTCGGTAGCACTTCGCTTCCATAGAGGAGCAAAAGTGCATCGCCGAGAAAAAAGGGAAGAGCAATACTATGTACACCAAGATGAGCAAGGAAAGAGATATCATATGAAAGAGAGCAAGAGGTGACTAACTACACCAACGAAGAACAAGGGGGAAAGACTAAGAGATTACTTCACACAAAAGCAAGCCTAGCTAATGCACAAGATTGTGTGAAGAGTAAAGACGAAAGGGATAAGGGAAGAAAGAAACAAAATAGAGAGGTTGGGGGAAAGAAGGGAAGGGGATGGTGGAGAGAGACCAAGAAGCAAAGAGAAAATTGGATGAAAAGAAGAGAAAATAAATGAATAACATAGAGTAAATAGTGGATGGTGGGAGAGAAAAAGATGAAGAGGGAAGGGAAAACAGTGATGGAGAGAGCGAAGAGAAATAAGGTAGAGAAAGGAAAGAAAGGAAAGTGATAAAGTATGTAGGGGACCGGAGTTGGGAAAGGAAGAGTGGTGGAAGAGAAGGTGGGGTGGGAAAATTAGAAAGAGGAGGGGAAAGAGGCAGTGGAAGGTGGGGGGGGGGAGAAAGGGTTGAGGAGTTAAATGAGAAGGGGAAGGAGAAAGTTGAGAAAGGTGGGGAGAGGGTTATGATTAGTGAGAGTGATTAGAAGGGAGTGAGTGAGGTAGAAGAGGAAAAAGTAGAGGGGGCGAGTAAAAGAAGAGAGAAGAGGTAGGGAAGTGGATTAGTAGAGAGAGAGAAGAGGGAGGTGATACCTAGCCCTTGATGTCTCCAAGGGCACAAGGTATACCAACACCAGGAGGGTCTTGGCCTTCGCTGCAGCAAGCCAAATGGAGGAGGGAGGGGGGATGAGATCTTGATCAGCCCCTAGCAGTGGCATTGCAGATCCAGGGTGAGTTGTGTGAGCAGACCCTCACCAGTGTAGAGCAGCCCCCTGGACTGGTCACCTGACCAGCATGGCCGAATCCCCGGGAGCCTCGCACCACCACCCCTGTGCCTGCCACATCACGACCACCGGGACTGAAAACTCATCCTACCCCCGGCTCAACGCGGCCTTCAACACCGTTGAAACGTGGGGGGTGTGGGGGTGGGGAAGCAAATAGTTCACTTGCTTCGCTCCCCAAAATCCTCGGAAACCCTAGAAACACTCCCAAAACTCATCCTACCCCCACCGAAACCTGGCCTCCAGCTCCGCTGAAACGTTGGGGGGGGGGGACCTATGACTTGTTTCACTACTCCCAATCCTCGCAAGCCCGAGGGTCACTCCCAGAACTGATCCTAACCGCCCCAAAAACTGGCCTTCGACTCCGCCAAAACATGGGGGGGGGGAGAGGGGGGGGGAGGGGGGGAAAGCCTTTCGTCGGTTAAGGCCACTTGCGCCACTTGGCGCAGTGGTTATCACACCACCCCGCACTGTCTTCGCCCGCTGCCTGCCCGGGTTCAAACCCCGTCCACTGCAAAACGCGTGATTGCCCTCACGCAAAATTTCCCGCTGCCGAAATCCCACGGCGCCGCCAGTGGGGATGGCACGGATCTTGAAAACGAAAAGTGTTTTGGTCCTTTTGCACACTCAGACAAACAAAATGGTCTGCGGCTGGTACTTTCGCCCGCAATGATGGCAGCCATCCGTCTTTGCACCTACGAGATGCTGCTTCCTTTTCGCCTGCTGCAGCTCCATAGCGCCCGTCATAATGGCAAGCAGGTCTTCTACAGCACTTTCCTGAAGGGGAAAGTACAGCGCCGTCCACTACAGGACATCGGGATCGCCAGGGTGGGTGGGCAGAATCAAGGATCGATCCCGCTTTGATACCAATGTGGCTGACCCACCGGGTGTGGTGCTCCACCTGGGATAGAGATGCAAATGGAGGATGAGGGTGGAGCAAGATGTCACAGCGCAGCTCCCACGCAAGACTCCAACGCACATACTCCAAACTGTGCGAATGTAGAATGATCCCAAGTACAGACTCTGGCTGGGGTATACCCCTGCGGACTGACTGGACTGGATTGGACTGACTGGTACCGACAGAGGTATCGGCCTGGACTGAACTACCTCGAACACAACACAGTCCTGTGAGAACAGGCCAAGGGGCTGGTCTTACAGGCCAACCAGAGGTCCGCTACAGTCGTGCCGTGAATGGTCTTCTTTATAACTTTCCTGCTCACTTGAATCTTAATCTTCGTAGTGTCATTGGTCTGCTTGACTGTGTCTGGGGTGGTAACAAAGGGCTGATTGATGATGACATACTCCTGGGAACCTCATTCAACATGAAGGAGATGTTTTCTAACCCCCCACATCCCTCAATTCTGCAGGCTCTTTCTTGGGTAGTTGACTTCGGGGTTGATAAAGGTGTTAGGGCTGTGGGTGTGAGGAAGCAAGGGAAGGGTGTTAAGTTGTTCAAAGGAAAATGTGAAGAGGGTTGGCGAGAAGTCTCCTTCTCTATGATCGTCGGGTTCAGCTCATTTGAGCTTGGGTCTACGCTTGTTTATGCTTCTGGAACATTGTTACAACAGACGATTGATATCCCCATGGGCAAGTCATCTAGTCCTGCCCTAGCCTACGTTTTGTGTGCCTACAACGAGTTATGTTTTTGTCAAGTCTGTGCATCGATAGGAAGTATTTTCGAGGTTTCAGACTGGTTGATGATGTGTCGGCCTTTGTTGTCTTCAAAAGAAATGAAAAGGGTGGTCGAAGGAGAGCCCACTTGCTGATCGAGGCTTTCAGTAAATGTTATGACAGTAATCTGGTATTGGAAAGAACTAGCGAGGGCAACTGCTGGGACTATTTGGGATGCGTACTCAGGGTCTGCGAAGGAAGAACTGGGGCATTGTGCCTTCCTATGATTAAGAATCAAAGGATGGATGTTAACGGCAAACTGCTCTTTCAGAACATGCAAGACTACTCTCCCTTCTCAGGTCGTCGGCAAAAAATAGTTGTGATATCTTCCTTTCTACATCGGACAAAGATGTACTCTTCCCTTGAAGGGATGGTCTTTCCTCTGCTGTTTGCTTTGAAAATCTGAGCTCTGGAGAAGAGAATACCCTAATAAGTTTTTTGAAAATTCGCTGGTCAATTTTTATTGGAAGTTCGGGGGTATTTGGGAAGAATGACTACCTGTGCTGACTAATTGGGGTTGGTTTTTGGTAAAGTAAGAGGTCATGTTATACCCTCGCAGTAGGGAGTATTTTCAGAATGTTATATGAAACAGGTTGTTTAGTGGGGTATCTGGTTGTTTTTTATCTTCTATTTTTTATCCATTCACAGGGTCTGTGAACGGAAACCGGTCATGGAGTTCATGGAGTTCACGGAGTGGGAGTTCATTGAGTTCATGGAGAGCAAGATCGTTTTTTTTTTTTTTTGTGGTTGGGGGGGGGKGTTTTTTTTTAATAGGAGCGTGGGGGTTATGGGAGGGTAACCCCCCATAATTTTTTCAATTTTTTTTTTACGAATAAGATTTTTTAATTAAAAACGAAAAAAAAAATACAACCAGCCAAAATTAGCATTTTTGTTTGTGATTTTGCCTGTCACGTTCACGGTGACAGCACTGATTTGTGCAGTATGAGTGAAGTGACGTTTTTTTGGTAGAGCTTCGAGTTTGGAACTGTAGTTTGGTATCAGGCTCTTCTGTTCCGTAGTGCCTCTGTGTCTGGTACTCTTATAAGTTGTTCCACATAGTTGTGCGTTTTTGCGTCCGGTACGTCCCGAGTGCTGAATGTTTGCTATCGGTGTTTTCCTTCGGTTCCGGGTTGTTTTTGACCCCTTGTCGATCTCCATCCCCCGTACGTTGTGTCGTGTGTTGCTCTTCAGTTGCTGGTGCATTATGGGTGAAGCGACGTTTTTTCTCGTAGAGCTTTGAGCCTGGGCCTTCAATTTGGTACCATGCTTTTCTGTTCGGTTGTACCTTTGGGTCTGGTACTTTATAAGTTGTTCCTGAATAGTTGTGCGTTTTTGCGTCCGGTACGTCCAAAGTGCTGAAATTTTGCAATCGGCGCTTTCCTTGGGTTTCACGTTGCCTAGGTGTTCTGTGGGTTTTCATGTCCCACTCTCTTGTAGGATGCAGTGATTCGCAACTTTTTGGAGTATGTACGAGTTGATGAGGTGAACGTGGAGAGATGGTTAATGGAAGGCCGAAAATTCGGTGTTTTTCGGCACACCACCACAAGCGAACAAACAATGCAGGCTCATAATACAAACTAAAATGCACTATAAAACCCTATTCGAAGTAGCATTCAAAGTTCGGCAATTTGTTTCCCGAATTTGGTGTTTTTGCCAACTTTTTTAATAGCGGTCCAAATACATCGAAACTTAATATACATATACCCTAAAGCACATACATATCACACAAAAAAACAAACACAAAAACAAACACAAATTCGGGAAAATATGGCAGTTTCGGTGAAAAATCCACCGAAAATGACACCACCTATTAACCAGGGTAACACGGC